TGTTGGCTGTAGTAAAAGAGAAGAAATATACTTATTAATTATTTGGGTAAGTACAGTGTGGTCTTTGTGGTTGCATAGAAATAGAATTGTATTTTTCAATGGTGTTTTGGATGAGAGGGAGGTCCTAGATTCTATTATTCTGAGATCCTAGAAATGGCTATCACTTGTTAGTAAGGGAGAAGCTATTATGTTAGTTGATTGGTATTTGAACCCACGAAATTGCATCTGTCTTAATTTTGCATAAGTATATTTTTGTTTTTTATTTCTCTGAATAAGTAATTTTTTCTGTGTATATGGGTTTTGAGTTCCCCTTGAACTTTTTTTAACAATATTTGTTTTGCCTATAAAAAAAATTAAAAAAATCAAGTATATTTTTTATTCCTTGATTATTTTTATTTTATTCTATATATTTCTAAATTAACCAAAATTAAAAATAAAAATATTTATTATTATTTACAAAATATCTTTATAATTTTATTGATTATATATTTTTAATTATTTTTTATTTTTTAAAATTTATCATTTATTATTTAATAAAATCTACAATTCAGACAAAAATAGTTTGCCTCGAAAAATGTCCAGCTACCTAAACCTATCCCATCAGTCCCCCTTTAATCCAATAGTTACTCTACTCAGAAATTGTTGCACAATCTCCCAGGTGTGACAAAGACCATTGCATCACACTCCATTCTATTCCACACAAAAAGAGCAAGGAAAGAATAAGGATATGTTTAATTTCTCTTTTAAACAAATGTATTCTAACACTTCCGTTTAAACATCTTCAATTTCCATTTTCACTTCAACTTCAGCTTGATCGTATTATGTTGGGTCTTCGATTTGAGGTAAGAAAAAACTCTATCCTAACTTATTGTGTTTTGATTGCCGTTTATTTTGCTAAATATTGCAATGTGGCTGGGATATAGGGTAGGAAATGTGTGTTGATGAAAATTATTATGTGTTTGAATGCAGTGTAATGTGTGATGAGATGGTTGAACCCATTGTGGGTGATTGTATATTGTGAGATGTCATTGATGAATGATTTAATAATGTGACTTGATTGTGGTGAAGCCTAATGAGGATTTAATGTTTAAGTGTGATGTGGGTGAATATGGGCATATGTGCCATATAATGTGAATGAATATGGGCCTGTGTGTCGTATGCTGTGAATGAATGTGGGCCTACATGCCGTGTGCGAATATAGATATCAGATGCAATTGAAATGTGTGTGAATGAGACATGTTAAATGTGGTTATGAATATGTTATGAATGGTTCAGCGATACACTGGAGGTGTGGAAGGTAGAGACGGTAGAAATACCTTGGAGAAGAGAGAGTGGTGGTGATATAAATAGTGAGCGTGGGTGCACTATAGGCCACACATTCTCCTCCTGACTAGACCTCTAACTAATACCTTTGTCAAGTGACTCGTGACTGCACATGTGGTATCCGTGATATGTGAGTAATTAGCGACCATCCATGGTGTGAATTTGTGATCATAGTGTCACAGTGAGTGTGGCTAGCATGCAGTGAGCGCACGTGGTTGTTGTTTATTAATTGTGTGAAGGTGCAGTGAGTGCACTAGTGTGTAAATAGAAATGAAATGTTAATTGTGGTTGTGAATGCTTGATTTAAGTTGTGTTAGAACACATGTGAAGTGTGCAAGGTGAGACTCTATGCTTGCTTGTGTATGTTAGATAGTGTAGAGTACTCACCCTTACATTTATTTTTCAGGTGGCCAAGACGATCAGTACTGGGCTCAGTGAAAGGATGGATAAAACTGCTATAGGGCTTAGATTTCATTTTGAAATTACGATGTAATTGAATTGGTCATGTAGCAGATATTGATATAAACTTATGATCTATACTTCTAAGAGCGGTTCTTCGTTAACCGCTCTCAAAACTATACTTCTGAAAGCGGTTATCTATTAACCGCTCTCTAAAGTCACACATTGGAGAGCGGTTAATAAATAACCACTCCCTAAAGTCATTAAAGTCGTTTATAAATGAAACATGCTTAACACATTTTTTCTTCTAAGCTAACAAAGTATGTCTCTTTTATTATAAGTTCTGTTCGTCTTCTCTATTCTCTTATGTTCTTTTCATCTTTTCTGTTAGTCTTCTCTCGCTAACAAATTGATTTTTTTCCACATCTGTAGGTATCTCTTCATTCTCTGTTAGCCTGCTCTCTTCATCTTCTCTACGTTAACAGTTGATTTTTTTTCACATCTGTAGGTACCTCTTCATTCTCTGTTAGCCTGCTCTCTTCATCTTCTATGCGCTAACAAATTAATTTTTTTTTCACATCTATAGGTACTTATTTATTCTTTCTTTGTTTTTCTCTATATTAATGTTAAAAATCATCCTACTAATTTTTTCTCTTCTTTTTCTGCTTACTTGTGTTTGGTTCATGCAGATGTGGATTGTTTGGTTAACAAAAAATGTATAAACTCAAGATTCAATTTTAATTTGTGATAAAAATGAAGAAAACTCACAAAGAAATTGATTCCAAATTTTGATTTAAACGTAATAATAAATTAATTTTACTTTGTAATTGAAAACTCAGAAAGAAATTAATTTCAAAATTTAAATTTGCAGCCTATATTTATACTTTGGAAAGCGATTCCATGTGGAACCGCTCTCTAATCTTACATTTATACTTTGGAGAGATGTTCTACGCAGAACCACTCTCTAATCTTAACATTTAAGAGCGATTGTTTAACCGCTCTCTTAAATATAACACATCAGATAGCGCAAGATTTTAGAGCAGTTCTAAACGCTCGCTAATTCAAAACGGAGCCGCTCTTAGATCTCTGTTCTGCGGTAGTGCTTCCTCAAAGTCTCTTTTCTCTTTATTTGTGCATCTACTTTAATAGCTTGGTGAACCAAATCTTCAAGTTCTACATAGGTCCTCTATCCTAGGGTGAAAAATTATTTTGAAATTTAAAAGTTCACTATCCTATGATTACAAACATTCAAAATAAGCACCTATCCTAGGGTTATCAAAATATTTACAAACGATTAAATCAACACGCACAAAATTGAGAAAAAAAGAAAAAGGAAAAACAAACAAACAAACAAGCGGGTCATAATAAATTGCACTATCTATCATAAAGAGACTTAACTCTCAAATAATCCCCAGTGAAGTCACCATCTGTCGCTTGGTGGGCAAGAAATAACGGCTTTGAAAAATAGGATTTTAATTTTAAAAATGTGGAGTTGCCACTAAAATTTTATTTATTTTTATAAGGGCAAAATATTGAAAAAAATTCTTAAAAGTCCCGAGTTCTGGAGTTGGTTACGAATAGAGAAGATATTAGCACTCCTATTCAGCCGTCCAAATGAACGGTACTTCAAGATTAAATAGTGCGACTAATTTTAAATATTGACCCTAGATATTTAATTTTTTATTTTCTTATTTTTTATTTTTTTATTTTTTATTTTTGAAAACATGCCTCAGGCCTAAGTTGTTATCGTCATAGGCAAAAATCAAATTTGAGATCTCAAAAGAATCCTTGATCTCAAATCATATTTTATTTAAAAAATAATAATTTTGTAAAAAAAATATTTTTATTTTTTTATTTGAAAGGTGACAAAGTCCTAATAACTTGAAAATAAATTTTTCATTTTTTAAGAAGGAAAATTTTATATTTTATTTTAGAAAAAAAGAGCTTAAAATAGAAAAAGACTTTATTTTAAAAATGATTTAGCATTCTAAAATTTTTGTTTTTTATTTTGAAAGATTTAATAACCTAAAAATTTTAAAAATTACTTTATTTCTTTTTTTATTTTTACTAATTTTTTTTATTTTTAATTTTTAAAAATAATAATTAGGATGTTTAATTGAAAAAAGTTTTTTTATTTTATATTTTTAATACTTTTTGATACAATGGGTGACGCTTGAGGAAGAAGAAAGTTAAAGAAAAAAAATAAAAAAGAGAAAAGGAAGAAAAACTGTGTAAACAGAAAAAAGAGTTAAAACAAAGAGAAAAAAAAAAGGAATAGAATAACCAAAGAAAAAAAAAAGAAATAGTGTGATATGACATTAGTGCATGTTTCATGAAAGACCGACAACGTAAGAAAGAAATAAAAAGTCATACTTTTTTCTTGCAATATCTTCGTCTTTTTTTGTATTTTTCGTGTGAAGAATTCTATGCAAAAAATCTCTCTTTAAGAAATTGCTTCTAAAAAAATTTCTCTTCAAAATTCCTTTTCATGAAAGAAATTTGTGTAAAATTCTTCCGTGCAGAAAATTTGTGTTCTTATGTGTGCAGATTAGTCACTTTATAATATGATTATTACATAATTAAAAAAATCAAGTATATTTTTTATTCCTTGATTATTTTTATTTTATTTTATATATTTCTAAATTAACTAAAATTAAAAATAAAAATACGTATTCCATTTCCACTTCAACTTCAGCTTGATCGATCTGAGAGCTTGTTGGGTTTGATTGATTGGTTGTTATAAGTATAATATCTGCATTTATTTGTAAATCTCTTATATCTTTGTTTATTATAATAGAGCTATTTTTTTAGTTTAAAAAACTTGTAGTTTTTATATCTTACATTGAAAATGTTTTCTACATTAAACAACCCGATACGTATCTTGTAGTTTTATGCTACAATATTTGTTGTTACTCATATATTCTTATAAATTAGAGAATTTAATTCCGCTGCATTATTCAAAATTGCATGTATAGGTGTGCCAATCACCAATAAAATATAAAGAATATTTAACCACCAATCAAAACTAGGTTTCAAGAGGCCATGCGTCGTAGAGAAATACAAAGGCTACCTTTATTGAATTCAAACTCACTACAATATCATATCCCCTAAAGGTTTTACTTGTTGACGTATTATTACTTCTCCTTTTTATCATAGGAGTTACATACGTACAAAAGTAAATCCAAATAAAACGACTATAAAATTATAAGTTTCTTAGACAAAGATAAGAAGCAACGGTTGATACGCAACTAAGAAGCTTATAAAATTATTTTTTCAGCTCATGAGATCTTTATCACCCTCCCGAGACAGTTGTCCCTTGGCCTAGTCACTGGCAAACTAGTAACAGGACATTTTGGATTTGTTCGCTCCAACCTATAAAATAAATAAATTAGTAAAAATAAAGCAGAATTCAAACCATTCCTGAAACCTCCTCGAAAAGAAAAATAAATTATAATTTGTGAATAACCAAATTAAACAGTAAATGAAAAAGGGATAAAGAAAGAGTGCTAACTTATAATTAAGGAGAAAATAATGTAGAAATATGGAAATCTCAAGTTTGGCTAGGTCCATTCCAGGACACAGCCTACTTCCCCCTCCAAAAGGAAGGAATGCAGCTTTGGAACCAAAATCCTGCACACGTCATGAAAACAGATAAATAAATTAAAAATAAGAAATTATAGATTAATTGTCCAAAAACAAGTTATATTTATAATCAAACTTACATCCCATCTCGAGGGATTAAATTCTTCTGCATTGGGGTAATAATTAGGATCCATATGAAGAGCTCTTATCCAAATTAATACTCTCCATCCTTTCGGTATGATATAGCCTGAAAAAAATTGGGTGATGAGTGTAAACATGTTTCGTTTTTCCATCCTTTCATAAACAAACAACTAGAAATTAAATAAAGACTTTAATATAGACAAACCATTGATGTTCACATCAGCAGTTGCCTCTCGAAAAAGTGCAAAAGCAATATTTGAAAGTCGCAGCATTTCGTCAATTATCTGCAAGGCAAAATAAGATCCAAAGTGTATGTCATTACCATATTGACGAGAGTGTTGAAATATGTATTCAAATTATTAGTTACTATCATCTTTCCTTTCGAATATACTCACTTACCTTTGAAAGATAAACCATTTGCTTAACTTCCTTAATACTTAACCTTTTTTGCGATGGTGGTCTTCTCTTCATAATTTCTTCCTGCTCTTCCTACAAGAAATAAAGACTATATCAACTTAGTTTTTCGGATTTTAATTGCATGTAAAATGCTGAAGCGGCAAGAACCATTTATTTAGCATCAATACGTGTAGTACATGCCCCTAGCTAGCACAGTAGTTAATTTTACCCAGCTACTATTATTAATACGAGAGCATATTTATAATATTAAATTAAATAAAAAAGACTACTATTGATTAAAATGCATACTTATATAAGAACTTGACTTTTGATAAAATGTTATGATGGCTCATTTGACAGATCGGCCAATATTTGTTTATATCGTGAATAAAATAATATTCCAGCAAGTTTTGTATGCGACTTAAATATTTATATTTTATAATCCATTGTTCGTAGTTAGATTGGTAACTCTTCTGACGGTATTTTGGTTTCTCAGTCTCATTACATGTAAGTATAAATATGTTTGAGTTTTGAAAATATTATATTCTTTTATTATAATTTTTATGCTTTTTTTATACTTAATAAAAAATAATTTTAATATTTTATTAAGGAATTAATTTTAATTTATAAGATTAAATTTAAGACATTCTATTTTATAAGACTAATTTTTTTATTTCTGTATATTTAAAAAAATCTTAAAAATTAATTTATAAATCTTCAACTTACAAAGTTGCGCATCCTCAAATGCTACTTTATAGATACTCTTTTGGAACCAACTCAAATATTCTAAAAATAAGGTATTTATTATACATTTATCAATAAAGAGTAGAAGGATTTTCAACTGTTTACTGGAATCAAAATATTAAATTTGATTCTCGAAACATTTCTTATAATTAAAATTAATGTATTTAAAGTGAATTAAAATAAGCTGTAAGTAGCAAAGAAAATCGTAATTAACTGATATGTTGATATACACGTAAACAAGTAGATTATTATAGTTAATTTGTTTCCATGACTTGCCAATAGATGATAAAATAAAAATATTTCTTAATTTGATTCTGTTTTACTGAAGAGGCATGTAGAATGATGAAAACATATTTTAACTTATATTAACATTAAATATATCTTTAAATTTTTACCATATACCTTTTTAATTTAGAAGAATTATATATATAGAAATAGTGACTTTGCATCGAAACTTGGATTGCTGCTTTCGATAAAAATTAATGAAGATAAACCAATTCTATACAGGACAAAATTTTGGTGTTATTATATAATTAAAGTGAAATTTTATTTATATAATTTGTGTTATGGTTAGTATTAAAAGGTATATATCACATTAATGTTAAAAATAAATTTTATTTTTAACATAAGATTACGTAAATTTTAATTTTTCCTAAAAGAACATGGGAGTTTTATACTTTTGTTCTTATAGATATATTGGTGCTTGATGTGAGCTATATTTACCTTGGCTTTTTTCATGATATCAGGATTCTCTGAAAGATATATCATTGACGACATCAAACCAGTCCCGCTACTTTCATGACCCGCAAGTAAAAACCCTAACAGTAAATCATTAATGTCCTCATCCTCCAATCTCTGGCCTTGATCGCCGTTGACTTGCAAAAGTATATCAATAAGATCTTTCCTCTCTGTTTGACCACTTTCTATCTTCATCTTCCTTACGTCCACAACACTTTGAACTATTTTAGCAATCTTCTTACGTGCCTAATTTGCCGTGCAAAAGTCAAGCACACCATCAACAACAAATTTTTAAAAAACATTTAAATTATTAAATTAATCTTTTAATACTTAAATCGAGATTATACTGCTTTTCAAACCACTTTAAATTTTACAAAAGTCAGAGAAAGAGAAAAACCTCGAGTGCTTTGTGGAAAGCAAAACCGGGTGCATTAATGGGGATAGAGAATATGGCATTATACGTTAGGGAAAATAGATTTCCTATTTTCTTAACGATGTCTGTATTTTCAGAGCCCAAGAAAATGTGAGCGATGACTTGAAATGATATTTTCTTCGTCTCATGCAAGAGCTCAATAGGGTGTTTCATGCTGGACAACTCTTCTAATGAATTGATCACAATGTCCTCGATACGTTCTACGTACATTTCCAACGCAGTGTGACCCACAATTGGAGCAGTTACTAGTTTTCGAAAACGCCTGTGCTCCGCCTTAGATACATCGGTCATGGGTCTACATTTTGCGAGCTCTCTGGTTGATTTTGGATACCCAAGCTTAAAGTTCTCATCATCAGTCAACACTCGCTTGCACAGTTCTGGCTTACAAACGATGATGCATGGGTTTCCAAATAGGTGAGACTTGTAAATACCCTCTCCTCCATATCTGAAACATATGTAATTTAGCAAGGTTAGAGTAATTAATTACTTAATAATATATCTATTTAGAATAAATTAGATAACAATAAGCTATAGGGTGTTTTAGTGAAAATAAAAATTATTAACCTGGAAACAAGGCTGTTGATAAAAGAATCAGGACGACCAGATAAAAAGTCTTTCATGAAAGTCGATAAAGTGCCAATAAGAGGCCATCCCATATCACCTGGAGGAAGTGGGTACTGTTTGTTCATTACTCTTAGATTATAATACCACCCATTCAACTTCCTCAAAAATTGAAACACTAAAACGTAGCATGTCAATAGAGTGGCAGCACTCATCCAAAACCAATTTAATTCCATCTTTGAGTGTGTCTCATCTTTTCATTGATCACTCAATTTATAAGTTCGATTGCTCTCCAGATATTGTAGCCTCCAATAATTAACCTGATTAATTATTTGGCAAGTGTCGTCCCACGCGCAGCATGCTTCTGAATTGTTTAAGCAAGAAAAATAATGGCATATTAAACAAAATGAGTATACTAGTTTATAAACCATGTGACAAACAGATGTAGTATCGAATATCAAAGCGCACTTAGATACACAGTATCAGTATCAAGTATTTATATATCAGCATTAATTTTTCTTTTTTTTTATTATTATATTACATATCACATACTTTTTTATTTTTTATTTTATTTCTCTCTTCATTTTAAATTTTACATTACTCTTCTAACAACACATTGCAACCATAAAATATATTCAAACTTTAAAACGTGACGCCTACATGGTTGACACTTCAAATTTTATTATATTACGCGTTAATTTACAGGTGGTGCAAACTACTTTTGACAATTACATGTGACCAACGAAATATAAAAATGAAAAATCCAATAATAGTGTCGATATAGTTTAACAAATTAGGGTTATTTGGGCATGAATTTTCCTATTATTGGATTTATGGGTACTTGCTATTACTATTAACGTCATAAATGTAAGATAATTAAATTTATGATTAGTAATATTGATTTTGAGTTTTTAAAAATATTTTTACATGGTAATTTGGTCCTTAGAGTGGTCAAGGATAATTGCAAGAAAACTAAAACGCAGATATACATTACATTATGCAAATAATTTCTTAATGCCATTTAGAATCACGACATATTCTTTAGAAGTTAATGACAAACTATAGAATATTGTACCACGAGGATATACATTTTTTTTAATTGATAAAAAAATAACACAATTGGGAGTGAAAGGAAGTGATGGGAACTGCAAGGGGATTTAATTGTGCTTTGAATCTTATAAAATTTTATTTTAAAATATTAGAATATGTTTGTTTCTTTTTTTAAAGATATTTTTTTAATATTAAAATAAAATATAGTATGAATTTGTATACATTGTTATTCATAGTGACTAGAGGTATGAATGAGTTGAGCAAGATATAGCTCGTTTAATAGCCTCCAATAGTGGTATATTCACTTCCATTTTTTTAAATGTATTAAGAATCTCTTTGTCTTTTTCATCTGACTTCTTACTCTACATAATTCTCTACTTCTCTGGAAATAGAAGAGAAATAAATTGTTTAGAACCTATAGAATGTGGAATAGTAGGGGTGGAAGAAGGATGACAAAATGTGATGGTATATCAATAATATAACATATTTTATATTTATATTCATAGTTTTATTTGATTTATAAACATTTTTCATATGCTTTATTTTTATAATTTTTTATTTTCTTGTTATTTCAATAAATTGGGTTTGTTACTAATAAATGTTTTAATTTCTTATTTTTTGTTATTCTGATCTTTGATTAATCTTTTGGCCATAACTTTTTCTACAGATATCTTTTTTGTCTGATTTCAATTGCATTAAATTTTACACTTCTAGAGCTTCAAAATACATATATGTATTGCTAGATTTAGAGTTATTTTTTTTCTCTATGATTTTTTGAAGTTGAGGCAGATTTGTTAAATTTTATTACTAGATTGCATTTAGACCATTGTTATTTAATAATTATATTTAGACTTTTAAATACAATTGAGACCCGAATTTTGGCCATTTAGTTTATCCTAATTATAACCTATAAATAAACTTATAAAATTCTGAATTAGGGTGAAAAAGAAATTGATACTTTGAGTTTCTAAGATTTGACTTTTAATAAGAAACCTTATTTTTACCTTCTCTCGAATTCTCTCATCTTTCTTTTATTCTCACTTGGATTAAGTGTTTCAATAGTGTAAATATGATTTGAGTTTTGGACTAATTTCTCTGAGTTTGTTCTCTTTTTCTCTAATCTCATATTTGTGAATTGTGATTATGATTAACTTTTATGTGGTTAGAAATCAAATTAAGATTTGATTAATATTCTGATTTGATAATTAAATTCGTGTTAGGTTAAATGATAATTTGATTTAATTCGTAATCCAATTCAATTAGGTTATTCGATTGAATTAATAATTGAATTGGATAATTGTTCAAATTTGAATTAAAATCTTTAGATACTATAATAATCAAAATTACATGCATTTGAAATTCTTTGGATTAATAATTCTTAATTTGTCTTTTTCTTCAAGTTAATTGTGTTCCTAATTTAATTTAATTGATTCAAAATTTTCAAACCCCCAAACTTTACTCGCATTATTAAAGAACCTAAAATTGAATTTAACTGAATATGTGTCTCTGTAAATCAACTTAGGTTGAGCTTTATACTGCAAAATTCTTAGAGAAACTTAGTTGTTTTGATAACGACTCAACATCATCTATCAATCAACACTATTATTTTTGTTACAACTACAATACACATTTGAAATTGGTTTTTCTACAATAATAGTACTCTCAGGTACAGGAATATGAATAGTTCATCCTGACCTTAGAGTGATAGCTTTAACATTTTTAGGATTCACTACTATTAATTGATGAAATGTTCAGAATTGAAATGGATAAAGTGACACAATGTTATGAATTGAATGATAATGTTTAGTTAAGTGTGAAGTCATGTGCATGAATGACTTTTTTTTATTTATTAAAATTGTACAAATAAATAGAGTAGCATAAGCTTAGGAATTGAAAACGATTGGATTTAATTGAGTAAGAAACATAATGTGTATGGTTAAATGATAAATGATGTGTATAGATAATTTTGACTAGTTTAAAATTATTAAAATGAAATAATTCTATTTTGATTTGTCATGTTAGAAAATATTTTCTGCATCACTTTGATTATTTTTATTAAATGAGAATTTAGTGAAGTAGATGATATTCACCCTCACTAATATTTTTAGGTAATGAAAATAAAGACATATAGAAGATTGATTCGCAATGGGTTGTAAGGAAAGAAATTGCTCCATAGGATTTAATTTTTTGGAAAAACTATAATAATATTGATTGAGTTTCCATTCAGAGTTATTTATAATATGTAATTATTTTAAATGATAATTTAAAGTACATGTGTGATATTTAGTAATTAATCGTTAATATAAAACTTTGGCTTTTCTTTAATTGCAAATTTAAAATCTCAAAATTATATCATTAATTCTATTACGAACAAGATTTATATATAAGAATTTTAAATTTTGCTTATTTTCATTGATTCAGATTTTATATACATGAAAACATTTTCTAAATTACTTATGTTTCACTTATTTTAATCATGTAACATCCTTATTTATTTATATAATTTAAGAAAAAAAATTATATCAAAAAGAGGAATTTAAATTGATAATTTACCTGTATTTCGAGTGCAAATTGCTAAAAATTTTAAAACTTTTATTCTTGTTTCTCATATACATAAATTTTTCTAGTAATAAGCAAATAATCGAAGACATTGTACATTATACACCAACCATTTATTGTCGGAGACACCTCCGGACTCAGTTCACAATGTACATATATACATGCTCAACATACATATCATTCAAATCATCGAAGACAAAGAAAATACATTTCACTCAAACATATATTCATAAGCAAATAACACACAACAACAATCTTATGAGCATAACATATCATGTTCTTAAAAATGAAATAGAGCTCTCCTTACCTTAAATAGATAGTTTTGTAAAGTGGTAAGTGAAAGATCGTTCAATAGACTAAGACCTTCCAGCATATTATAAAGAAAAGTACCCATTTTAGGAGAGAAATTAGAGAAAACAAAGGTGAGATTGAAGAGCCAAGATCTAAGATATTCACTAGCGATTCCGTAGAGTGAAGATTCAAGCTTGGATTCAGAGCAAGTTCAGAGCTCAGAAGAGTTTTTCTAGAAAAAGGGAAGAGAGAGTTTAGAGAAAAGGTCAGGGAAAATTTTCTTGGATTGCAATGCAAGTTTCTAGGCTAGAATCCCTTAAATACCCCTTAATTCTCACGCGCTCTCGCTTGAGTGAGCGAGCTCTCACTTGAGCAAAACCATTCTCACCTGAGCGAGCCCTTTCTTTCCTGGATGATAAAACCAGATAGTGATTTCTTAAGCTTTTTCTAGTATTCTCGCTTGAGTGAGAGTCATTCTCGCTTGAGCGAGAAGACATCTAGATAGTTGACTATTTTTTGCTAAAAATTTTGCTTAAGAAAAAAGGAATATTCTTGTTTTTTTTTAGAAACTCTTCCATTTTGTAAACAAAAGCAATGAATAGAAATTAGGGTGTTAAACAACCAATGTAAGAAATGTGGCACGTGGTAAGACGAGAGAAATTAGCACATGCTTGGTAAGTAAGCGGACATATTTGCCACCAGCTTGTCATACTCTTTCTAAAAAAGAAAAAAAAAAGCCTTTGTCATTGTCTACAAGGAATAAAAACGCCACAAGATTTCTCTTCAAATATGAAAAGACTTGTCTCAATGAAAGACCTCAAGTTAGTTGGGCTAAAGTCTCAAGATTGTCAAGTCTTGATATAACGCCTTATACCAATTGTCATTTGTGATATTTTGCTAAAAAATGTGTGAAATATCATAACACAACTGTGTTTTTTCTTTCATAAAGTCTCTAGTAAAGTCTTTGAAATTGAAACATTACATGACTTAGAATTTGAAGTTGTTTTAATACTATGTAAATTGGAGATGTATTTTCTTCCATCATTTTTTGACATCATGGTGCATTTAATTGTGCATCTTGTGAGGGAGATTAAGTTATGTCGCCGCATTTGTTTATGGTGGATGTATCCAATTGAGCGATACATGAAAATATTAAAAAGATATGTAAAGAATCCATGATGTCCAGAAGTGTCAATAGTTGAAAGATACATTTCAAAAGAAGCTATTGAGTTTTGTACATAGTAAGACTTGTAGGGCTTCTTAATTATTATCACGAGTCACGGTCAACAGGAAAGGGTACACGAGGTTTAAATGTTAAGAGCATGGGTCAAGCAAA